TCGTGACATCATCCTCCAACTATGTCTGCGTGAGTGTTGAGGTGGGGGAGAAGTACTGAGGCTGAGGTTTCTGGCTAAGAATATAAGGAGGTGCATGGTGCTCTTTCAACTCCTCTGGAACTGGAGTTTTGCTAAACAAAGTTGGTTCGGGGATGTGGGAAGAGGTGGGTAGTCATAGACTTTTGTTTTGTTTTGTTCTGAAGCAGCAGCCTCTAGCAAGACGTGGCCACGAAGGAACCACAGAAAGTGGATTTGTGCCTAGCACCTTGGGGAACCCAGGATTCACTGGGCCTCTGTCCTTCTGAGACTATTGCTCTCTACCATTCTTGTGTCTCTTCCTCCTTCTCAGTGGTTCAACCTTCAGATATGCCCAGAACACCCAGGCCAGAAGTCTTCATGGGTCACGTTCATTCTGTGCTACCTGCTTGTAATTTCCACCCGTGCTATCTGGTTGGGTGAAGGAGAAAGCTTCAGAGGCCCAGAAAGTGAAAAGACTTTCAGGAGCCCAGGGAGACAAGACACAAGAAAATGGGCCCTGTCCTGTCTCCCCCTCCCCCAACCTAGGATGCTTCTATGTCCCACAAAGACCCTGACGCTGGATGAAACACATTTTGGAAGCGTGAACAGTAATACACCACTTTCAGAACCAAGCCACCGTTCACAGAAGCAGAAGCAACTATCAGAAAGGACCCATTCCAGAGCACACCTCAGATCCTGTACCTCTGCAGGTGCCCTTAACAGGTATCTTCATTAAGGCTTATTATTTGCAAAAGAATATGACAAAAAGAAATGGGCCAGAAGCCTCTCAATAATGAGTGATTGCTTTCTCTCTCTCTCTCTCTCTCTCTCTCTCTCTATATATATATATATATATATATATATATATATCTTTCTCTATCTCTCCCTCCCTCCCTCTCTCATTGTGCATGGACAACTGAGTTCTCTCTGAGTTATCTCTCCAGCTTCCAATTGCCAGCAATGGTGGAAATCAGAACTCATAAGGCTTTGAGATCTGGATGAAGCAGAGGAAAATGACCTGTCTCTGCTAAGCTGTAAGTTTCTTGGTTCTTCTTCAGATTCTCTCTGTCTCTCTCTTTCTCTCTGTCTATCTCTCTCTCTGCTCAGAGAACAGACGGGCAAGCCAATCTGCTATGATCCTGCAGAACACAGGTACACTCCGTACCGTAGGAACACAGCCCTTCTGAGAGAGTGATTCAAGTTAAAGTGTAAGGAGCTCGCTGGGCTTAGATCCAGCTGCCTTGGTTTCCAGACAGTGGCTCAAGCAGAAGAAAGCAACCCCACCATGGGGCTACCCAGAAATCTCTTAAACCCAGAGAGCGTGGCTCATTCTGATGTGAAAACATTCAACAGTCTAATGGCTGAGACGGCACCTTCCACCTGGGAAGAGGTGCTTAAGGATCATAATGGGATGGTCTTCAAAAGCACTGAGCCCAGGGCCCTGGGCTCATCCACACCAATGCCCACTTCCTCCTATCTTTGATGGAGTTGAGATGGAGATCACTTAGCAGATAAAAGTTCAAGTGTGTCAGATCTTGTTAAGTATATACAAGGCATATTGACTTCTAGGAACCGCTTGGCAAGCCAAGGTCCAGCGATCCTGGTAGAATGTGGCTCAGCTTGAGCTCATTCTCAAAGAAGCTAAATCCCACATGCACACAGGCTGATGGAGTTCTCCTCCCGCGCCGAATAGGCCTGGTTAACTGGAGAAAGGGATCAAGATACACCTGGCTCAAAGGAATCACCAAGGGCCCGAGGGAGGGGGAGAGGCTGGGGACAGAAACACAACGAAGTCTAGCAACGGGAGGGATCTTTGGAAGGCTGTACACAATAGTAACGACACAAGCAGCCAGAACAACAGCAGAAAGATTAACAAGTGTGAAGGCCTAAATTCTGGCCATGAGACTTCAGACACGCGTCGGCCCTCCTGGACCACGATCTCAGCCTCTGGAAATGAGGGAGCTCAGCCCTGAGCCTCCCTCGCTTGGGTTTTCCCTCTGTCTCCTGCTGGCTGTGTGGCAGGCTCTCCACAGACAGCCCCCTCCTGTCTCATCAAGAGAGGGGTTTTGGGGGTTTCATTTCCCCCTGCCCTTGCCCCAAGAGCACTTGACTTAGATGAGCCCAGACAACAGCGTGGCCGGGCCCCGGGCTGGGGAAACAGATCGGCCACTGGGGAAGAAGATCCACTCAATGAGAAGCAAGCCAAGGTTCAACCTCTACCCCTAAGTGCTCTGACATTGAAAACCTTGGGAGAAGAAGACTGGGAGCCCAACTTGCAAAGGCTGAACTGCCAGCTGAGATCGGAAGAGCCGGGAGGGCTCCAGGCTGCCTCCATCAGTGGTGACCCATGAGGAGAAGCCAGACTTCATCCTACCGTCCTGAGTCCTACAGCCGGGAAGAGAGTGGGAGGGAATGTTTTCTAGACTTCCCTGTAAGGACAGCCCTCTCCCTGTCACCTGAAACCTTCGAGCGGAATGGTCAGTGCCTGACCACTTGTGTGGGAAACCAGCTGGGAAGGGAGGCTGGCTGGCTGCCTCCCCAGCCTCCCCAGCCTCGGCCTGGGCCTGGCACACACCCGGAAGGCTCCCTCCTCGGAGGGCTAAGTCAGGGTACCTTGGTGTAGGCTAGTCGGTATTTGGTTACTTCTGGGTCGGGACTGAGACGCAGTCTCAGTTTTGGCGAGTTACTGGCTCTGTGACGCCCAGCAGCCCTTTGGTTCTGCCGGTGCCCCAGCGCCGTGTGCACAGCAGCAGTGATTGCACACACACCCCCACACTGGAGGGCAAGTCTTACAGATATTCCAGGAAGTCCCTCCAAGGCGTAAAGTACTGCAGATATGCATTAGCATCGTCACGCCTGTGACCTCCTAGAAGCTCTTCACAGAGAAAACAATTCAAGATGAGCGATTGCTTCTATTCTCTGGACAGACCAGAGAGCCCTGTGGAGGGCGGTGCACAAAACACAATCTCAAACAAGTGAACTGACAAAGACCTTGAAGTCTGATAGCTGTCACTTTGGCCAAGAGAGTCTGAGGTCCACAGACTCCTTCAGAAGGTCCTGTGTCCTAGACGAAGGGGACATTTCAACACAGGGTAGCATTAAAGTGCATGCACAGCCTTTTCAGAGGAGTCTTGAGTGCTCCTAAGTTCAGCCCAATGGCTAGGACTGGTGGCTTTTGGGTGCTGTGTCCTTTAAGAAATCCTGTAGACCAGTGAGCGTGCTCCTTCTGAGTAGTGCTGCCAAAGCCCATCTTTCATCCAAGAGCCAGGAACTTCCAGTGTGTGAAGGAGTTGAGATTATGAGTGAATGGGTGGTTTTAGAAATGGCAGGGATGAGGATGAAAGAAATTAGAGTCCCTCAGTGAACATGGAGGCCAAACTGTCCTTGATTTCCTGTCATCGTTAGGGCCTACAATGTGCCATATTCTCTAACCTAAACTGTCCCCTAAGAGATTAACAAGTCTTCCCTTTGGGGGGTCATTCCTACTTAGAGTGGGGAGAATCTCTCCACTAACCAGACAAAAATCATGCCCTGAGATTGACCACTTATCAGCAGGCCGAACTACAGCCTCTAACTCTTCCTGAGACCAGCGTCAACTTCCCCTATTTACAGATCAAATGCGATCAGAGAACATTTTGGAAATTATATATATATATGTATATATATATACATATATATATACATACATACATACATATAGCAAGGAATGCCCTGTCACTTTTTGTTAGAAAAAGAAACCACATCCACATACTAATACCCACTCTCATCCAAGCATTCCAAAACTATAAATCTTCTTCATGCAGTTGGACAAAATCATTGTCATCATTGTGGTCCTCTTCCTCCTCCTCCTCCTCCTCCTCCTCAATAAGAGGGAAATAATAAAATAGACTCTCTGGGGTTCCAACAATTTTCCAATTTCCGCTGACAATTCCAGCTGCATGGCAAATTGTTGGAACTGGAGATGATAAACATTTTTAAATGTCTCAAACAAATGAATACTGGTGGCTTTTGACTGTTCTGTTGCTGCATTGCTGCGCACAGTGCATACCAGTTTCACAAAGTGCTTTTCATTTTTTAATTTTTTAAACTGGTAAGCTAAAATGATCCATGCCGTCTTACCCCATCACCCCCCTGAAAGGAAGTGAATATAATTTGGAATCTAGTATTTTGAAACTATGGTCATGACACTTTGGGGTTGAAGACGACTCAGGGGTCACACTTGATTTGGCAAGATGATAAACTAAAAATTCCTGTGGGTTTGGATGGGGAGCAGCCTGGTGCGGGCAGCTCGGAGAAATGTAGGAGAGGGTAGAGAAATGAGTACCTGATTCTTTCCATCTTGTCGCCCGACACCCCCCCCACACACACACAGAGAGCACACACTCCTGTACACACGTACCCGTACACGCAGCCACCCAGTCCTTGGGGAGAAAGAAAGTATTTAGGTCAGAGGCACCGCTAAGGGTGGGCCGTCAAAGGGTCCCAGCGCCGTGAGCAACGTGGTGCTGGGCATTCTCTCAGCTCTGTCTTGGTGCTTTTTGCTCTCACATCTGTCCTATAGGAAAGCCACCCAGAGAAGGAGACAGGGTGAGGAAGAAATGTAAGGCATACTTTGATGAGAAAGGAAAAAGAAAGAAAGAAAGAAAGAAAGAAAGAAAGAAAGAAAGAAAGAAAGAAAGAAAGAAAGAAAGAAAGAAAGAAAGAACAGAGAGAGAGAACAGAAGCCCATGCTTCAGGCTCAGGTGTGACTTTCAGAGAGGATGGGCCTCAATTTCCCCTTGGGACTGCTCTCCCTGGCTGGAAAGGTGGAAAAGAAATGCAAACTCAGGAAAAAAGGAGAAAGGAGAGAAAGGAATGGTGATGACTGTAAGGACAACAAAAGATAATAATAATAATAAATAAAGGAGGAAAAGACGAGTTGGGCCAATGGAACTTACATCACATGACCAATGTCTCCTCCGGCCTACTTCCCTCCCCACACCTTAGACGGACTTGCGACGCCGGGTCAGCTGCAGGTTGTCGGCGGCGAAGCTGACCACCCCGGGCGACACAGAGCTGAGCGGCGACGGCAGGAGGCTGTTCTTCAGCGTGCTGGGCGACAGCTCCTCCACCCTGTAGGAGATGGACTGCACGGACTGCGGGGCCAGCTTGGCGCGGGCGATGCGGATGGCCGGGCGGTAGCAGGAGCAGGCGCAGGCAGACTGCTGGTCGGCGCCGCCCTCGGCCCTGCGCCGCCGCAGGGGCCGGCTCTCGGGGGCCTCCTCCGACACCTGGATCACCATGCTGCTCGGGTTGCCCGGGAGCGCCGCCTCTGCCCCCTCAGGCTGCTCCTCCTCATCACCATTCATGGTCAGGAAGCGCAGGACCACGAGGTTGAGGAAGGCCCCGATGACGGTCAGCCCCACCAGGATGTACATGAAGCTGAAGGCCACGTAGAAGGGCTTCCTCTGCAGGGCGCCCTTGGTCTGCAGCGCCACATAGTCACCGAAGCCGATGGTGGTCAGCGTGATGAAGCAGTAGTAGTAGGCGTGGAAGAAGCTCCACTCCTCGCACTGGGAGAAGGCGGCCGCGCCGATGCACAGGGTGCCCATGCACGAGAAGAAGCCCACGGTGACCATGTTCTCCATGGACACGTCGGTGTTGCGCATGCCGCAGCACTTCTTGATGCGCTTCAGCAGGTAGCGCACGAAGGTGTTCATGCGCTCGCCCAGGCTCTGGAACATGACCAGGGTCAGGGGGATGCCCAGCACCGCGTAGAACATGCAGAAGGCCTTGCCCGCATCGGTACCGGGGGCCGCATGTCCGTAACCTGCAGCGGGCAAGACAAGAACAGGGAGACGGTGGTCAGCGGGGCCGGGGAGCCCTTCTTGGGGTGGCAAAGCAGGGGAGTTGACCACATCCTGAAAAGGGCCATGGAAGAAGCAAGCAAGGCGGTTTGTTTGTTTGTTTTGGGATGACTTACCTTCTCATTGTGTTATTTTATTACCTTTAGGCTGTAATACACAGGGGTTTCAGGGCAACGTGTCCAGCTGTGAGTGCAGTGCATCCCCATCAACTTCCCCCTTCCTTCCACGTTCCTCCTCCTCTCTCTGCCCATCGTACCTGGTTCCATTCTCACCGATGTGCGTCGCATAGTGAGACCGTGTTCACCACCCCCTTCCTCTTTCCATGTGTACACACACCCTCCAAAAACCAGTTTGTTTTGTTCAATGAGGGTTGGAGGGGGTTAAGTTGAGAGGAGATCGGGTGTGCAGGAAATCCACAACCCGAAACATTCTGAATGTTTCCACAGGCAGGACCTCCCGCACCATCAAACTCTGTCTCATATATAAAATTATCTAAAACTGTTACATAAACATAAACGAATTTCATATTTATCTTCAGATCCCATCCCCCAAATATGTCATTCTGTGAGTTCAAATATCCCCAAATCCCAAACACTGCTGGTCTAAGCATTTTGGGAAAAGGACGTCCAACCTGTACCGTAGCACTAGATAAGGAGACTTGGTCAAGAAATGTCACTTGTGCTTTGACGTTAGAGAGGTTGACGGCATTTCAGTGTTCTTAGAACCACACAGTTATAAACTACCAAAGTACAAAACCGAAGGGAGAACATGAAATACACCCACCGTGGAGCCACAGGAAGAGTGCTCTGAGAATGACCACTGTGTATGGGGCGCCACGCCAAACCCTCCCACCTCCAAAGCCACCCAACCCCTCAACAAGTGATGATTCCACCACTACTGCTGAGAAAAATGAGTGACCTGACTTCTTCAGTCAGGATCTGAGCCGTGAGTTTTCAGCCACCAGGATGAGACAAAAGTTAAGACTTAATGAGGAGAGGCAATGGCAGAGCAGGACATGAATATCATGAATGCAAGAGTTTCTACCTGATTTGTCCGTACTATGTCACCCACTACTAGTTAATATCTAAATGGTAAGACATGGCTCTAATAATAAGTTCATGCCACTGTGCAAGTCTAGCCTTGATAGAAATGAGGAAATAAGCCACCTTTAAAAGCCCTGGATAAGGTTTTGTGCAACATGCTAAAAGGAATACAAGACTCAGTAGATTATAGGTGGAGTTCTGAAATGGATACTGTTAAGGAAAAAAAAGTCTAGATTGTGAAGTATTTGGAGCACAGCACAGCCTGGGGTCCTCCATCAAGGATGGCTGCACTTATATTTCCCTGAGCCACATGCTCATGGTAACTGAGCTGCCTTTGGTACCTTGGGTGTGAGAGAACTTCTGCCAACACAGGTGCCTTTGTCTGATACATGGAATAATGATATACCCAGGTGGGTTGCTGGCCAGATCTGCTGAAACCAGAGAGCATCCAACCCAGGACCCAGGACCCAGCAGACACCTGCCAGAGCTGTCTTCCCCCGACACTCTCTGCTCTCACCCACACTCCTTACCAGGATCTTGTCATGCGAGGCTAAGTCTGTCAGTGTCTCTTCAGGAGGCCTTTTCCTCATCGTTTCTGTCCCTCTATCCCACCCCCCCCCATCCAGCCCTGAGCGCTGACCTCTATCCCACCACCCCACCAGCCCTGAGCGCTGACCTCTCAGGAATCCTACGACCCAAAAAAAAAACCCAAAGTTGGAGCCAGGCCAGAGACAATAGGTGAGGAAATAGAAAGCTGAGATAGATAGATAGATAGATAGATAGATAGATAGATAGATAGATAGATAGATAGATAGATAGATAGATAGATAGATAGATAGATAAGATAGATAGATAGATAGATAGATAGATAGATAGATAGATAGATAGATAGATAGATAGATAGATAGATAGATAGATAGATAGATAGATAGATAGATGATAGATAGAAATTGTCTATTCTGAAGAATAAAGATGGGGTGGGGTGAAATTCACAATGCCCCCAAGACCCGAGGATAATATCAAAAGAAATTCCAGAAGAAAAGGAGATATCTAACAACACAGGAAAAGATGAAGATTTTAAAAATGGCCAAAATCCTGGTGCAGGGGTAGAGATGGGAAGGGATGGAAGGGAAACAAAGGAGGAGGCAACAATGCTTGATAAGAAATGTACTCATTACCTTGCCCATGTAATTGTAACCCCTCTGTACGGTATTCTCATAATAAAAAAAGAAAAAATGACCAAAATTAACCAATTAGCCAGTTCTGGTTCTGATAAATTCACTGGATGAAATAAATACAGCCTTGTCTGAGCCCTACGTTGCATACCAGGTGCCATCCACGCTTACCTGTACCTGTTCTGTGAAATGGAATAAATCCCCAAGTGGGGTAAGTACAAAGGAAACCATCCCTCTTCCACACTGAAGAAAACCACAAAGAGACCCTGGAGAAATCAGCCAGAGGGAAGTGAATGCAGAGGAAATGCCTGAAGATGGCTGATTTTTGATCCTAAACAATGAGAACCAAGAAACAATGGGTTCACGTCTTCACCAAAGAGAAAGACTATAGACTCTGAATCCTGTATCCCCAAAAAACAGTCTTCCTGGTGAAGGCAAAGTAGTCATTCTCAGACTGGAAGAAGTCATTAGCAGCAGGTCCACACAGCATGCAGACTGGAGGAAGTTGTTGTGCTTGGGGGAAAGGACGCCAGATGGAAACTTGGGTCTTTAAGAGGGAAAGCAGCTCATTGTGCTAAACAAGTCGGAGAACATACACACAGATGGGACCCCCACTTCATGGCCGCATGACTCACTTGTGCAGCTGATCCGCAAGCCAGGTGCGTGATGGAGAGGGTGGATGCAAAGGTGGTAAGTGTGATGCTAACAGGTCTGGGTGAGATACATTCAGTAGAGGCAATCAGTGGGTCAAAACATGCTGCACCCCCTTCTGTGCAAGTGAAGGTCAAAAGCAGGCAGGCTGCCTTCCCATGGCCTGGAGAGCAATGCGCCTGTGTCACCTGCCTCAGACTGTGCCAGTGTCCTTTCTCCCACTCCCATGTCACTGTGTGGAAGAGCCCTTTGCCCTGCTCCACTGACCACACATCTCAGTGGGCCATACACACACATGACAGGGTAGGAGAGAGAAGCATGACCACTGGCCAGAGACCTTCCAAGCTAATAAATGCCCTCAGATGCCGACTGGCTTGCTGGGCAGTCCCAGTGGAGGACACTTTGGTCTTGACCATTGGTAGACTGGACCATTCCTCCTTCTCCCTGGCCAGTCTATGAGGTGCAGTTCAGCCAGGGCCTTGTCCTGATGCAAATTTCCAGGTCCCTGGGTCTAGTGTAAAGGAAGTCCTCAGAACTTAGAGGCACACCCTGCTGTTTAAATGAGTTCCATCCTCCTTCAGAGTACTGGGAAATTCTAGCTAAGCCTCAAGCTCACCCCAAAGACAAAGGAGCCAGGCATGCTTGAGCCAGCCTGCTCTTCATTGCCCCTTGAATGCCCTTCGTGGGTCTTTCTACTCTGTCCTTACAGAAGCTATGTACTATGCACCAAATGCCAAGGGACCAAGATTTCTTCCTGGCCCCAGACAGTCTAGACCTGTCAACAGTTGGCCGTGAGTGATTTGTCCAGACTTTCCCAGCACTTACCAGTTTTCAAGGCTCCCAACCATGTAGAGAGAGGATGCTCAGGAAATAGGGGAAGGACAAGACCATGTTCCTTCCTCCTAAGAGCGCCGCTGCCCATTCATTACCCACCTACCCAGGGCCAAGTGCTGATCGCGTTCAAGGCCAGCTCATTGAAGCCCCTCCATCAAGCCTCCATCACAAGCCAGCAAGCCTTGCTTTGATGCAGCATGTCTGAGTGAATGGTAGGGGTCCCCCTGCACCAGGCCAATCTGGTTTGAGCCAGAACTGCCACCTTATGGACAATGGGTGGCTGCCTCCCGCCCACCCTCCTTCTGTCTTCTTCTCACCGGTAAAGCGGGGCTAGGGCTGCCTCCTGCCTCCTCAGACACCACCTAGCCCAGAAAAAACGTCCACACAAACCTTAGACATCAGAAAATGTGCTGCTCAGAGGAAATTAACTATTTATAAAGGACAGACATGGTTCTTTGTGCTGGCAAGAACTGACATAGGCTCAAATTCCATTAAAGAATGGTTGGGGAAGGTTTTCAGAAGAGGCCTGCTAGGGAAGAGCTGCCCCAGGCCCCCAGCACTTTCTGAATGTTCCCAATGACTGCCCGTGGCAGTGCCCCCACCCCAGCTCCCACATCAGTGAGCTCAGTACCGTGAGGCTCCAGGTATCTGCAGACAGCAGAAGGAAGGTGATTCATGAGCCCGGTGTGGAGTGGAGGGCGGGGGGGTGGGCAGAAGGGACCCTCTAAAGCATGCCAGGCAAGCTCGCATAAATATATACCTAAAATATATACATATATTTTCTAAATCATATTAATATGAAAGATTACTTACATATATATGCTTAAATATACATCTATGGAGGTGTGTGTGTATGTGTGTGTATGTGCAAGCTCATAAAGCCCAAGCTTCTCTAAGGACTGGGTTATGATAGCCACACCCCAATGCACATGGTGCTCAAATGCTATCGAGACAATGGGGTGGCCAGAGCGTAACCTGAGCCCAAGACAGACAGAAGGATGGACAGACGGCACACCATTCAGGCACTCCTTTGCCAGCCCTCATTTTAGGCTTGAATTCACAGCCTCCAACCATGTGACTGAGAGAGAACTGTACATCATCCATCGGCCCTCTAAGCAAGCTTGCCCTTGGAAGAGGACCCTGGAAAAGGCGGCCACCGAGAGCTGAACGGGTTCAGGGAGTTGGAAATCCTAGCTGCCTATCCCCAGATCCTTGCAAGAGACCGGGACACCCACAGTTGACCAGAGGTACAAGAGCGCC